ATGAATCGAAACTGTATAAGTGAAGGAAACTGAAATGAAAAATGGATGTACTTGATGTTGAATTGAAAAGTATTGTAAATTGGTTTATAAGTGTCAACCATATATCAAATGCTATTGTTTTTGTTATTTCTCATACTTGGTTTAGTATATCTCTACTGGGCATTGGCTCACCCTATATGGGACATCATTTTCAGGTTCAGGTGATATGCCACCTCCAAGGACATAGCTTGGGAGGCTTAGAGGTTGAAGATCCCTTTTTGTTGTTTACCTTTTTGTGTATTACATGTAAATTCAAGCCGAGGGCTTAATGTGTATGAGTTAGTACTCTCCTTTTTGTAACCAAGTGTTGGTTTGAAAAGTTGTAAGCCCGTAGGGCATTTAGTTTTGTTGTCAACATATAATACTTTTGTGATAAACACTCTGATAAATAGATGTACACTTTATTCTCTTGAATACATTGTCAATATCTTGTATCGTGAATGTATGAATTATGAATTTGTTTTGAGGGCGTTACAGTCTGGGCTTAGCCTAGGCCATTATTTTGAAGCCCTGTTGGGTTCGTAACCCGACCCATTGGCCCGCTTAAGACTCATTTAAGGCTCGGTCCGAGGGTTGGCCTACCTGAGGCCTAGTGTTTTTTTCAGTGAAAAATAATAAAATTTTGATAGAGAAAATAAAAAAAAATGTTCAAACCCATCCAAGCCCAAGCTCAGGCCCAGTCCCACTGGCCCGGCCTGAGGCCTACCCGAGGCCCGAATACCCCCTGGGCCTGGGCCTAATTTTCTAGCTCATAGGCTGGCCTAAATTTTGATGGGAGCTCGCGAAGTAAGCCGGGCCAAATTTACACCCCTAGTAATAAGCAATGGATAAGGAGTGAAAAAATTGAGCAACATTGGTCAAATCTATGAGAAACAGTGAAGGAATAATAAAATGAACAATGATCAATGGAGATAGTGAGAAAAAAATAAAAAAATTAAAGAGTAAGTCTGATGTATGTATTCTTTGAAAAGAAAATGTGTACTGAGAATTTCTATATAAAAAATGTGTAGTAAGAAAATTTAGTTTTAAGAATTGATGTGTGTATTGATATCCAAATTGTTCATTTTGTTTAGTAGTAAAATTATAAGAAAAAATTAATTCTTTAAATATATGCACAAAGAGTAAATGATATGTAAAAGGGCAATGATTGGTGGCCACAAATTTTGTGACTCAAATGGTTCGAAAATGTCAAAACGACGTCGTTTTGGATACAAAACAACTCTAAAAATGTCAAAACGACGTCGTTTTGGCATTTTCGAGCCATTTGAGCCACAGAATTTGTGGCCACCAAACATTTTCCTATGTAAAAATAGAATCAACAATGCTACAGACCACTAAATTTCTACCACTAACACCACCACTAATGATGTGGCAAGTAAAAAAAAAAAAACACAAAAACTAAGACACAAAACACATGTGGCAGTGGGTGGGACCCATTGTCACATCCCTAGTGCAACCACTAATTAGTGGTCCGCATCATTTTTCAAATAGAATTACCCCACGATTGAGGCCAAAAGAACATGTATCTACAGAATGACCAAACTATCCTTCTCTAATTAACTCTCTTATTTCATTGCAAGCACGCACGAGTTATAAAATCAAATCACTTTTTTTTTTCTCTCCTCCATCTCTCTCTCTCTTTCCTTCTGCTGAATTCGAAGCACCGGCCGAGAGAGACACACAGATCAACACCCCGCCATTGGCGTCAGAGGCTCCAATGCCCTCTTTCTCCGTTGTCCTCTGCGGCTGCCATAGACGGTGGCACCGCCGGTCATCGGCAACCACATCGTTCCCGCTTCCACTTCTCCTCCCTTCACCGTCGTCGTCTTCTTTGAGATTCATAATCTCGGCACCCGATTCGCCGCTGGCCATAGCCAACGCGGTCAAGCTGCAGTTCGCAAAGTCGTCGGCAGCGACGGGGTTTCCGATCTCACAGATCTGTGCACGACGATCTGGATGGACGCGAAGGAATCTAACAAAATATGACTAGAAATGATAAAAATTGGCTGAATTACAACTGTTCCTTTTTCTAGTTGTTTTTGGTCTTGAGTGTTACAATTTAGTAGTGTATGTTTTCCTAAATTTCAGTTTGATAGTATTTTGATTTTCATGTTTTGTGAAAATTGAGTAGGAGTTTTGGCTCCGGATCTGCTGGGGTCGTGATAGATCTAAGATGTGAAGGCTCCAGAATTGTAATGATCTGCTTCAAAAAAGGTGTTAGGGATTTGGTAACCAAATCTGAACGCATTCAGTCCCAGTTCCTCCGCCTCCCTCGCCATTGCCCCCGCATTCACAACCTGCATCTCTCTCTCTCTCTCTTGTCTTTATGTGAGCTCTCTAGTTTTTTGGGTCGTATCTGTGTTGAAAGCAGTTCTGTAGTTGTAAGGGCGATGATGGTTTGCTGATGGGGGGCCTCATTTGGTTGGTAGAGATGAAGATGTAAGAGAGGAGAGGAAAGTTGCAGAGGAGTGAGAAGAGAGAGGGATAGAGGTGAGAGGGAAGAATAGAGGAAGATAGTTGACAGGTGTTCTGGAGAGCTTTGGGTTGGAGGTTTCTTGGGTTGAGAAGGAGGTAGAGGTAGAGAATAAGAAGAGGAGAAAAAGAAGGAGAATGCTGGAGTTGTATAAAAAATGGAGCCTGAAAGATCATCTTCTTCTTCTTTTTTAATTCTTCTTTTTTGTTTCTGCTATTACACTCCATTTGTATCAGTTTCAGAAGGCATGAAAAAGAGTTTATTTATTTATTTATTCTTTTTTTATGTGTGGTTGTTGAACAGAGAGGTGTGTTCTTTGAAATAAACAGATAGATGGATAAAAAGGATTTGGATGTTTTCTGGAACTAACAGATAGAGGGGGGGGGGAATGGGTTTAATTTGTACAGATAAAATAGGCTTGAATTTTTTCTTTTTCTTTTTATAGATTTGAGCTTAGATTTGTGTTGCAAGACTTAGATCTGCAAGACCCAGATCTGGGAAAGTCAATTGTGAATTTCAAACAGATAGGAATGAGTTTTCAAGTCTGAGTTTAACAGATAAAACAATTAAACAGAAAAAAAAATTCAATAGATAAGAATTTGTGAACCTACAAATTTCAACAGACAGATTTTATTTGGATAGTTATTTGAATAGATAAGGGAAATTTGAATTAAAAAGATCAAAAAATTAAGCAGATAGGGTAAAAACTTTAAACAGATGGGGAAAAAATTTGAATAGATAAGAAAAAATTTGAACGAATAGTCAACGAAAAATCAAATAGATAAAAAAAAGTTAAATGGTAAAATTGAAAATAAAATGTCCCACAAGATTTTTCACCAAGCTATTTCATAAAATATGGATCTTTCACCAATAAAAAATATTCACTGGACTTAATGCATTAGACACTTATCACCAATTTTCTCTAACAAAAATAATTTAAATGCAATAAGAAACAATCTTAAAAATACATTAGAGTTTCCACAAAATTATTACAAATTAATGAAAAAAATTATAAATTTAATTATGAATTTTTATAAAATTTATCACTAATTTATTATTATTTTTATAAAGAAAAATGATTGATCCAGTGAATTTTGACATGTTCGAATTATGTAAGTCGGACGACTTCCTAATTAACCTTTCGAACAATCACCCAAATGACTGACGTTACTTTAGTCAGTTGTAATTGCCACCCTTATCAACCGATATTTGTCCAGGTTACGATCATCATCCAAATGACCGGCCAAACACTCTCAAATAACCAAGGATCCTCTAAATATTTTTTTACTTAAAGTTTTCTAAAGTGGTGTATTGTGTGGTTGATATTTAATACTGAAAAATTGATGTGACTTGTCATTAAATTTCAACTACGCAATGCACCACTCTAGGAAACTTTAGGAAAAAAAAGCTCTAGAAGATCCTTGCTCTCTCCTAGAGTGAGAGATCCAACGGCTGAAATTAAAACTAACCAAAACGACGTCGTTTTAGTTAGTAAGTTGAAGAAAAAAAAAAAAATTCAGCTCTGGTTCAAAATGACGAACAGGTTCCTGCAAATATGAAGCAATAGAGTGACTCTCTCTCTCTTCTCCTCAGCGGCCATGTGAAAGTAAGTTAAACAATTTCAAAAACATTTTTACAGATTATACTCACATTTAAAACTAACCAAAACGACGTCGTTTTGGTTAGTAAGTTGAAAAAAAAAAAAAAAATTCAGCTCTGGTTTAAAATGACGAACAGGTTCCTACAAATATGAAGCAATAGAGTGACTCTCTCTCTCTCTTCTCCTCAGCGGCCATGAAAGTAAGTTAAACAATTTCAAAAACATTTTTACAGATTATACTCACATTAAACAGTTCATTGCTGTTATTGACAAAGCCATTCTCCATAACTCTTTCAGCTCTTCTGCAACCTATATTCATAGAAAAAAAACAGAGCACTTTAGAAATGGGTTATTAATCAAACTCTGTTTTTATGCTTGATTCACTGAAAAAGTAATAATAAAATTTATTTTAAATAGAATAAGGGTAAAATGAATATTGTTATACGTGGGTGGTTGTGGGGAGTTCGGGGGAAGAAAAATTTGGGTCTTTGTCTTCCATGTTGGAGATTGATTGAGAAATGAGTCTGAAGAAGATTGATTTTAATCAATAAGAAAATTGATGACCCAACTTGTTATGTTTTGGTTTTGAGTCCTCATATTTTTTATGGGTAATTCATGATCTTAGGAATAAAGAATAAGAACATGAGCTTGGATATAAAGATTAAGAATCAAAAGATTTTGGGTTGAATAGGAAGGAAAGGCTAAAAATAGAGAAGCATTGAATACAATAAACAGAGGTTGTGTTTTTGAAATCAAACTTTTTTTTTTTTTTTTTTCAACTTACTAAGCAAAACGACCACGTTGTGGTTAATTTTATTTTCAGCCGTTAAATCTCTCATTCTAAGAGATTACTTCAGGGACACGATTCGTAATTCCTCATCTGAATTTCCTCAACTCCTATGTTCCTTCACCCAAAAGCATTCGCATTGCCCCATTCTCTCTCACTCTCTCTCTCTAAAATGTCTATCTTGAGCTTCTTCTTAACCATTGTTCTCTCTCACACTCTCTCTCTAACACTAGAGAGAGAACAACAATCCCTCTCTCTCCCTCCCTCTCTCTTTCTCTCTAAAAGGTCTAACTTGAGCCTTTTTTAAATTATTGTTCTCTCTCACTCTCTCTCTCTAACACTAGAGAGAGAACAACAATCCAAAACATGGGAAACGCACTCAGGCTATTGTACGGACACTGCTGTAAGCCGGCCGCTGACGAATCCGATGCGCTCGGCCACCACGGCATCTCGGCCGCTACCGTCGGTGTCTCCGCCCTTGCCCACGATCTTTATCACTATGAAATCACTTCCCAGGTACAAAAATGCCCCTCATGATCACCTTCATTTCTTCTTCAATTCAATCCCTTGCTTAATAAAGACTGTGTTTTAAAAGAAAATTTTAATCACCCTTAAAATTAATTGTACTTTATGATCTGTTCTGGGTCAGAATTGAAGTTTTGAAGATACTTGGGGATCTGGGTTGCTCTTAATTTTATCCCGATTTAATCAGGAAGTTTTTTTTTTTTTTTTTTTTTTTTGTAAGGTTCCTGAAGGACTCAGTAAGCAAGTAGTTTCTTCAAAGAAGGCTCAGGCTAACTGGTAACTAGTGTATAACTCTTGATCTTGATTAATAAATCTAGCTTCTTGATTAGGTTAACACTGTAATTTCAAATCGAATTGTTTCAAGTAAATTATGTGCTTTGCTGCTTGATTTGTGTTCTACTATATGTATATTGAGTTGTTTGAATTTACAATGAGAAAATGAAGGTATAAGAAACTTTCAGAGGCATGGAGAGAATCAAAGCCTCCACCAAGAACCCCAGAAGAAGCTTCAAGGCTCATCATACAGATATTGAAGAGAAATCAAAAGGCTGATGTTGAGGTTAAAACAAGTCTCTTTGGTTGTTTCTGTTTTTCATTTTTCTATTTATATTCAAGAACACACAGAAAACTTGTTTGATAAACTGTTTTTTAAAACTATTTGGGATAGTTCATAGTTCTGAAAACCTGCCACTTTTTAAAAAGTACCAAAAATTGTTTTCAGATTTTTTAAAACTGTTTTCGCATAAAAATGAAAACAATAGGAAAGCAATGAGTATTTTTGAAACACAAAAGACAATAGCATAGAAAACGAAAACACAACTAAGCCCTAGTCACAACATTGATACTCTATTTGTTTCAGCTGAAAACCTTTACCAATAGAAAACGTTTTCTATGAAAAGCTTTTTTCTGTCCCATAGAAAATATTATCTCAAGTTTAGTTGTGTTCTTAAAACTAATGCACAAGTGGTTGTGTCTGGGGGGATTGTCATTTTCTATTGTATCAAATATCAAAAAATGTGAAAAACATTTTCTGCCCTAACAAACAGAGCGTGATCTTCTATGAAGCATGAGTATTTCTAAAAACATTTCGTACCCGTACCAGATACTTACCGGAGTATAGTACCTCGTATGATACTTCTATATACGTTTCGAATACACAAAACACGTATCCAAAATTTTTCTTCTTAATTTTTGGTGTATCCAAACGTACCTAATATATACCCAAGCCGTACCGTACTTCAGTTAAGATAATATTTTCTTCTAGTACAAAAATAAAATTTCTTTCACTAGATTTTTTTTTTTTTTTTTTTAATGCTTAGCATAATTTTAAAATTAAACTATAGCTTGTAAGTTATTTAATATATTGACATTTAATTTTGATTTATACTTTTATTTTTGACATTAAATGTTAATCGTAGGTTAGATCTTAACAAATTAAATCATTTAATTAATTTTTGCATTACTCTAAATTAAAAATAAATATTTTTTTACAAATGTACCAAGACGTATCTGTACCCTTTTTTTTTTTTTTTTAATTTTATCATATTGACGTACCTGTATCGGACCAGTATTCCGGACCTGTGCTTCATAGGTGATCTTCTTTGGAAATGCTTACAACTTCAGAATTAAACCTTGGTGCTGAATCTGATTTGTTGTTGCTTTCTTTTGAGTAGGGTCTATTGACTTTCTATGGCCTCCCTCTTCCTCATACTCTTGTTGAACTCTCTGCTGGACCACCTACTTCACTGCCTGAAGGACTCCAGTTTGAATTGCAAACTCTACCAGTTAAGAACAATTTCACAATCCCAAATCCTCAAATACTCGAAATTCTCTCCAAGACTCTTGATTTCAATGAATGGTTTTTAACATAATTCCCAGGTGGATGCAAAAGCTGTTGCGGATGGGGATACCATCACAGTGTATGTGAGCACCATGGATCCAAGGGAGTCATCTTCTGTTCCCATAGACGTGCAAATCGCAGCCGTTGAAAGATCAAAAGCACGTGCTGGGAAGAATTACGCCAAGGCAGATGCACTGCAGAAGCAAATTGTTGATTCAGGATATAGGTTTGTATGTGAATTTGGCATGTGAATTTCTGTAATTCATTGGTATTTTGCTTTCAGAATCACGGGTCATTCACAGCTTGTATTTCACCACAGGGTTCTGAATATTCAGAGTCAGGAGATTCTTGCACGCAAGTATCGGATTCGACTAAGGTAATGCCAACTGCAATCATTTTTATTTTTAATCAGCATGTTTAGTGTAACTTTTCCCAAATTAAAGCTGATAATCAAGAGGTAAAAGCAACCCTTATCCTGTTTCCAAATAATCAAAAAATTTCAGCTTATTTAAACTATCCCTACTATAAACAACTCAATAAGTCACACCAAATAGAGCCAGTAGACTTGTTTGTGCAGCTTCTTATTAGTAGAAAGCTGATAATTAGAAAACAAAAATTAAAAACACATTTCCCTCATCTTTTCAATAATTTTTTTTGATCAATTTATTTAAAATTATAAGTTGAAGTTGCATCAAACATTCTTACAAGGCAACTATCAATGATTAATGACTACTCAAGAAAACAGGGGAATAGATGCGCCGGAGAGTGCAATGCCATATGGAAAGGAGGCAAAGGAGGAACTGACCAAGCTTGTTCAGGGCAAGTGTCTGAGAGTTCTTGTCTTTGACCAAGATCGCTATGGCCGATTTGTGGGAGACATTTATTGCAATGGTATCTTTATACAGGTACGATTTTCACAGAATATCTCTGCCTTTCTAAACTGACTTCAAAGTTCAAACACTCCTTGGGAGTCTTCCAACAATTGTCTCTCTATAGGAATCAATGCTGAAGAAAGGATTGGCATGGCATTACAAAGCCTATGACCGACGTCCAGAACTAGAGAAGGTAATCCATTTTACTGTTAATTCTGAGAACATTTTACTGTTAATTCTGAGAATTGGTCGTATTAAACGCTTCATTTCTAATGGCTATTTGTGTTGTGTCATACCAGTGGGAGAAAGAGGCTCGGGCAAAGCGAGTAGGCTTGTGGGCTTCGTCAAACCCTGAGATGCCGTGGGAATGGAGAAAGGACCGGCGGGAAGGCAGATAACCTGTTGTGGAAATGGCTACTAGCAGAATATGAAAAAACATCAACAGCTAACAACAGTATTTAGGATTTGCCTGTGTTTCTGTTGTAACATGTATATCTGATTTAAGGACATATATATAATTTATGAACCTGATTAAAGGGTTGGCAATTGTTTTTATATGATCATGAAAACCAGTCATGTCAAAGCACAAATGAAATCTCAAATGCTCCACAGAAGATGTTTCAAATCACCACTCTCAATAATCACATTCTTCAGCGTTTCTCAAGCTCATCATCAAATGGTATTAATCTCACAACATTCCCAACTAGTTTACATCAAGGATCAAACTACACAGAACTCAAAGAACATTGGTCCTTTTTGGTGTAACTTCTAATAAAAAGTTAAAAACTGATAATAAGAAAGTAGAAGCTCAAAACACACCTCCCTACTTCTCAATAATCAATTTTTTTAATCTATTTTTGCTTCATACATTGTATGCAGCAATTGCACCAAACATTCTAATACAAAATTCTAAAATTTAAGATAAATAAAAAGAAAAAGAAAAAGAGAAAACCATTAGAGCTACACTGAACAGCCCCTTCGAGTTTATTCAATACAGCAGTTGCTGCCTCGGGAATCCCGTCAATCACACAATTTCAGCTGAAGAAATAGAAACATCAACATGATTCAAACTAACACATTAGTCTAAATACAAGCGGAAAAACATCAGTGTAAATACAAGGTTAAGAACAGAATCAAGAAAACTTGACGAAAAAATAAAAGGAAAAAGAAAAAATAAAGCTAATGAAAGGAAAACTGCAGCCAGCCTGGGGCGTCACAGAATTCTGGTCAGTTGCACAGCCCAAGGATACACTGCAAAAGACCAGTGGCACTAATAAGTCAACAAGGAATGGAAATTCTGTAACTTGAAAATATTGTCATTTTCATATTAAACCCAATTGAAAACTGAAGTCGGATCACAAGAGATAATATTAGAATTCCACGTACAGTCAATACATGGAATGCAGACAAGATTTAGCGAAAGTGAAAATAAATCTTAAAATTAAATAAAAACATATATAAAAGCATGAGAAGATCCCACCTACTAATTCTAATGATTTATTCACATAACATCTAGTACCAGCTGTTTCCTGGAAAATGAGAAGAATTGAGCATGTGTGTTTTCTTCTCTCCCAATTAGAGTTAATGAAAGTGCACAGGAATCCCCACAGCAACATGGCATTGTCACATCTCCTATGAATGCGGAGTCGTGCGTCAATCTCATGATGTGACACCACGGGCTAGTTAGGCAGCTCCACAAACTCCCCCCGGGGTTGAGTCATGCAACTCAAGGTTAGTGCAGACAGTGCAGTAGCCATGTGCCCAAAGGGCCAAGGCATCCTCTAGTCTAGACCATTAGCAACACCCCTCGGCTTGACTAGGAATCCCAAGCTCAGGCACAACTAGAAATTGTCCTCCTATTACTCCAGGACAAAGGTACATCCATTCTCCAACCAAGTACACTCTGCCCATGGCACATGTTCGGTTTGCCTGGCTCGTCTAAACAACCCCACCGAGAAATGTCCCCATCTCCTCCATTTTAAGCCTCCAGAAGAGTGCCTAGGCATTGCCTTAGCTATCTAGATTAAGAGCAACTATCTAGATTAAGAGCAAGGCCTAGAAACCCCACTTCAGATCACCACAGGACTTATGGCTCAAATGCTAGAGTTGAGAGTAAATCGAGGTGCCTCACCATCCCCTCCCAAGAGGAGACCTTGCACTTGGCCAATTTTAGAGAGAGGCACAACAACAAGAAAAAGCTAACATTGATCAAGACATGAAATCTTCGAAGTTGTATTATATACTCCAGGCTACAGCTCTTTTGCAGCTCTCCTAATACGACCCCTGAGACTTGACATACCTATCCACTGACACCTCTTGATACAACAAAGCTGAGAAACCTCCATATTGATGAACCAAGGAGGCTGAGCCACCTGTTCCTGAACATGGGACCCCGTGTGTGGCTTAGTTAGTCCCCATAGTTTGACCTTGCTATATAGGGGACTCTCCATGGACGAAAAAAGGCCACGCTGTCCACCATCACAAAGCTTAAGATTCTCCACTGCCTCTCTCCTGATCTAAGGTTGGCTCAACTCTAATCTCCTCCACCTTCATTTGTCTTCTGCCATATCAATGTTGGAACTTCAAGTTTCAAAACGTCAACTAACATGTATTTTCCAAAGAGTTGCCTTTTGTTCCATAGAGTAATGTCTTTTCCACTAAAGAATAACTTCTACTAAAAGTTGTGCTTTTTACAAAGAGTCATCTCTACCTAAAATTGTGACTTTTAGGAATAGTCACACCACCATTGTCAATAAAAACCTGTAGGTGTTTGTTATTCAATTCAATTGCATACAATCAAAAAATCTTACTTCTTCCTCCATCTCTTTCACTATCAAACATCTTTAATATTTTCATACAACTTTTGAGCATCATAGAAGAATTCTTTAAACCATCCAGTGCATGCAAACATTTTGGAGACCTGGCTATGGTTTAGGTTGAATCTTGGAGCTATTCATTAACCGTCAATATACTTGTGTGGGGAGACTAACAACTTCAGGGCAGCAACTATGCACCTCACAGATTCACAGGCCAAATATTTCTACTTTCTATTCTATATATATTTGCACTTTTTATCATTTAACTTCAATTATATATAGTAATTCGAATTGCAATAGATGCAATTATATTGATCTACACACAGATTTCTTGAACTCTGTACTCAAGTTGTTTATTGATTTTATGTGATAATTTATTTATTATTTTCTTAGTTCTTACCATCTTCTTAGAAAACTAGCCCCTGGCCATCTTCTCATCCTCCATCCACAAATATAAAGTTTGAGAGAGAGAGATGAAGAAGTTGACAGACCAAAAAAAGAGACTTTGAGAATGTCTATTTGTTATTATGAATATCCATTCTCAACTGCTTGGGAGAGAACTCCTCACATCGGTGACTTAACCATTTTCTTCGAACTCTTTTGGAATTAAAAAAAGTGATAAGGATTCAAGAAAATGACATCACCATAATGGGTGTTTCCTTTAACATAATCGTATAGAGTATTCCTTCTTATGTGACTAAACTAGATGTCCCCATATTGCCTAAAAAAATCTCTCTCCCCTATGAGTCCCAAACAACCTTTAGTAGGTCATATGAGAAGGTTCTCCATCCAAATCAGCACTCCTGCATTTTTGGGCCTCAAATTAGACACATCTTCCTGGTGGATTTTTAAACAAAACTTATATTGCAGTAAAAGGAAGAGAAGCCAATGGCATATATATTTTAATTGCCATTTCAATACCCACACTAAAGTTTGTGCCCACAAATGTTTCACTAGTTACAGTGTACCACTATTTTCCAGCACAAGCAGGAAATTATGTTCTTAAACAAAAGCCTATGCATTATATGCACAATCACAAGTTTACTCTTGAATAATCAGACTATCAAGAAGAGGAAAAATGCAGTATGGCAACAAAAAGATTCAACTACACAGCTAAAGTTTGAACCCTTGAAAAGAATAAATAACATATAACATCAAAACTGAAGCAAGTTTAAAAATGGAAGAACAACAAAGTTTAGGGGTGCAACTATGAAGCAAATAAAGTAACCAGGAATGCTGATTGAAACTGTTTTCAATAACTTCAACACCCTTCTCATCAAAACAACTACAACTTCCAGCCTAAAGGGCTTGCATTGTTGGGGCCTGTATACCTAGGCTAAGAATCATTAACAAACAATCAGTCATTACGGCGAAGCACTATAAGTGCTACATTCTATGGGCAGGTCAAGGGAGGGGACCAACTCAACAAACCCTTATTCCACTGGTGTATATGTCCTGTCCTTCAAGGATAGGGGAGGACCTAGTCCACAAAACACTACATGGATTGAGGGAGATCAGCTGGAGCCACATGGACTTTATAGATACAGAAAGAGGTGGGTCTATGAAGTTTTCATGTATCAACCAAAGCCATAAGAGTTCCACACTTTGACCTTTAGATATTTAGACAGGGACGTAAGGATGCTAAAAACACTTAAACACAGAAAAATAACTATCAAACAAAAGTAGGACCTCATAAAGTGGTTATCACTTTTAATAATTTGTCTAGATATACAAGCATAGGCATTTTGTAAATCTTGAAGATAATTAAAACATCACTGGTGCATTACAAAGAGACCATGACAACTGTCCAAGTTTCTGACTTTTCATGTAATTTTGAAAATCAGATATGGCTAAATCCTTATTTTAATGGGACGGAGCTTAATAACCTAAAAAATCATGTAGCTCTCACCTCCTTAAGTTTCATCACAAATAAAACCCTGGCTAACTAGCCTTCAAATACATCATGAGAGTAAACATGTTCTAAATCGAAGTATCTAAATTACATTCTACCTCACATGATTTTGGGGATGCCCGAATATTAAAGGAAAAGGAGGAGGTTAAAATTACAGTATTATTTAATGGATGAAGACGAACAAGAGTTATACATGTCATGTTCAATATCATGAACCATGACTAATGTGCTGGGCACCATTTCTTTTAAAGGGGATGTATTTTAGACTGAAAACCGATTTTCCATAAACTATTTCATGAAGAAAACAAAATTTTGAGTTCATATTAAATCTTTTTTCACTCCATGCATGACCTTGGAAAATTTTGCTTATTGAAATGTATGAAGGAATCAATGTTTGACTTATTAGATCATTTTCCATTCATGCAAAGACTAGTCATTGGGTGTCTCCAGAGTCCAGAGTGCTTGTTTGATAAATTTGCAAAATGAATGGTATAAAACACCTATTTTCATGTCAAGAACAGCTTGCACTGAATTACTCAGTTGAGGATTAACCACTTGGCAGTATATGTTATTTCCATGTGGAGAGGAAAAAGAGAGATGATAAAAATAAACGAAGGCCCGTAAGTTAAAAGACAATAAGACAGAGAGATGACAGAAACAATTATAGGTATAAGACTCTGAATGGAAGCTTTGGACAAAAGTATATCATGCATCCCTATGGACAGGTTGTTGTGCATGTTTCTATGCAAAAGAACCATAGGTCCTAAAAAATAATCAAATGATTACTTCAAAGTAAGGGCGTTCAAAAATATGCACAATTCCCTTGCACAACTACATATCACCAAATGAAGGAGTTGCGAAAACATGTCAGGGTCATATAAAAAAATCAAGAGAGGGCCGAGCTGCCAAGGCAGCAAAAGTTCGGACTTAAAACAAAGCAACATGTAATTGCAGGGTTGTAGTGACTATCTGTTTGCTTGTGGAGTTGATACAAAAGGCAGTTCAATATAATCCATGTACAGGTTATTCTACCAATTGAAAGTTAGATTAGTAACTTCTTTCCAATATAGTTTAACAAATATAGACCTAGCATGGGAAATATTTGCACTTGCACTTCACCAATTTCATACACACTTGAGGTAGAGTCAAACCGATGGAATACGATACACTTCATATCTAATGTCTACTCATGACTACCTAACAGAAGCAATAGAATATATATAATTAGAAGCTAAAATCAACAATCAAGTTTGGAGTCGACAAATCAAGTTACTTCCTCTCTGCTTCTATTAGATTTTTTGAATTCATATTCTAATGGAAAGCATATAATACCCTTAAACTACAAGAAGACAACCTAAAGAGTTCCCTTAAATCTCTTACTGATTAAGAAAAGGAACTGTACCAACTACAATGAGGGATCTCAAGCAGCGTGTTATGCAGAGGATAGGATTGGTGGGAACATTAGAACAAAAACGATACAGTACTAACTTTAGTTACAGCCACAAAATTGAAGCATCGTTGAAACAGTCAAATATTAGAAGACGTTTTGAAGTTAGAGGAGATCATAACCAAAAGAATAGTTGTTTAAATGATTAAATTCTGGTTACATACACAATGAGAAGGTAGAAAGTCGTAACCCTCTACAAAGTATAGATTTATGGAGTTAAAGAGTGCATCCAACATAAAATTCATACTGTTACACCGTGTAAAAGTAAAAAGGGCAACACCATTCCATGTCTACTCATTCCCAAGAGTTCATGTAATGCCATGTCAAGTAAAACACAATCATAACAACTTAAGTATGCAAAACAAGAAACTCCAAGAAAATGATAAAACTCACTTTGCCGTTGTCAATATTAAGAAAGATCAAATATACTTATTTGGCATCACCCTTCATTTCATCTGAATCCGAGTCACTTGCATTGTAACCTAAAGCAGATCAAATAAAGATTAAGAACAACAAATAGAACCACTAATACTCTAGCTGAGAGAGAGAGAGGGAGTACCTGGATGTTTGTCACTGACTTTCCATACTGAGGATCGACTCCTCGAAGCTCTACTCATCCAAGCACGTCCCTAAATTTTCGGCAGATTAAAATTTCCCAAGGCATTCACAGCCAAAGCATAGAAATGTCTAATAGCAAACTTGAGTTTGGAACGAAAAATAGCATAAAATCTAGAATACACTAAAATCCCAGAAAACAAACACGGGTCGATTGCCTAGAAAACAGAAGAAATGTAGGAACAAAATTTGAGTTTTACGTGTTCACCTCTCTGGAGTTTGTTCCAAATAATGAAAAACCCAACTCAATTAAACCATTTAGTAACACAGTCTGAATCCAATTTTTTGTATTCATTCCCTAAATATCAAAACTCATTTGATTCAAAGTTCAATTTCGACCTCTTTCCTTTTGATTTTTCTACACTTTCTCAGCAACCAAATAGAAATAATACATTCTACAAATTTAAAAAAACAATGCTAATGCTAATCAATTCACAATTAAACCCTTTCAAAAAAAAAACCCAGAAAACAAGAAAGTTTAGGGTACCTTCTGCTCATCTCTAGGGACACCATAGCCACTGAAATACATCTGACCCACCAAAACTTGCATAGCGCTGTCACCGGCTTTGGCCTCCTTGAGGGTGTCCTGAAACCACCGCTTCACGCAGTCGGTAACCACCTCAGCCAGAGGCACTCGGCTCGGCTGCTCTAGCCGCCTCGCCGCCTCTCTCGAGCTCTCCTCCATCTTCTTCACCCTCAAGCGTTCCGATTCAACTCGGACCCCCCTCGGATCAACCCGGGTTTTGGGAACGGGCTTAATGCGTTTGGGACGCTGCTGGAGCTTGTCTGAGGCGATGATTCTAGCGAAGTCTTGGAGCCTGGCCGTAGATGGGAGTGATTTTCCCATAAAACAAACAAAGAAAATGTATATATATGGATTATTATATTGTGCGGGCGTGAATGGGTAGAGAGAAAGTGATGAGAAAGTTCCGATTTTTTCTTTTTCTTTAATGGAATTGGAATTGGAATTGGAATTGAAATTGAATGGGTTTGGTTTGCTTTTTTGGCCTCATTTTTTTTTATTTTTTTTCTATTGTAAGGCTGTTCTTATCTTTCAAGGTGGGGGTCACACTACTACTAGTACTTTATAGGGTTTGAAATCAGAGTGGACAAGACAAGACGAAGGTGACAGTGCAACGAACAAAAGAGATGGGTTGGGTTGGGTTGTGTTGGTGGGTGAAGATCTAAAACTCGTTCTGTTGGGACGAACAACGTCAACGTGCAGTCTTCATGGATTTAAGGTTGTGATGGTTAGAAAATTGAAAATAAAATTAGGTCAAAGTTTAGAAACTTGTAAAAAAATTAAAAAGTTAAAAAGTTATTTAAAAAATTAAAAAATTAATACTATTTACTAAAAGTCAACAATTACGACTGCACAATTTTTAATTTGAATTTTTCTTTACAAATCAATTTTTATAATTTTTTATTACACATTTTTTCATAAAAAGTCAAAAAGTTAACCCAAACATCTATATTTTTAACCTCAATTTTTTAGTTCAAAAAAATAAAAAGTGCATTTATTTAAGACACCCCAAACAACCCCTAATAATTTTTTTGTTTGATCATTATAAAAATTAACGTGTAAATGAAAATTTAATGAAAAAAATAAGTTAAATTGAAACTTTTTTAGTACGACATTCTTATTTTGGAAAGTACTTTGGGCGAGCTCAATTTGAATAGTCTAGCCTAACCTGAAATTTTTTGTGACTCTATAATATATTTTTAAAATTAGTGGTGCAGAAATTTAAAAATTTAAATTAAATTTTCATAGATTTAGACGGATGCCAAACTATTCGAAATCCAAAGTATATATAGAAATATATTAAATATACATATAAAATCTTATCATTTTTTTTCGTATTCAAAAATTCTAAATACCACCACAGTGGTATATCAGTTCCTTAAATTCATTCTTACATTGTATAAATTATTTTTTTATGTTATTAATGATTTTTTCAAATATATATATATATATATATATAGAGAGAGAGAGAGAGAGAGAGAGTAGTACAATATGATGTTAGCAACTAATCAACTTAGTTGACACAAAAAAATTTTAAAAATACAAAAATAAAAAAAATAAAAAAATAAATCCTAATCCTATGTAAGGGATGTAATACTTGCGTTTTTTAAATAATTGGAAAGTATATTTAATTTCCTTTTTTTTTTGTCATTTGAATCTTTAAGTTGTTGTATTATTGTTTTTGTGGCATAAAATTCGATTTAGATTTATTGGGATTGTTCACTCGTGCTTCATTTTGTTGAAAAGTTTATTGTGCACTTAGAATTTTTGTTCTGATGTCGACACTTGACTTTTAAAGGGTTGACACCTACTATTCTTTATTTCTTTCTTTTTGGTTCTGCTTTCTGGTATCAACACCACCCTTTTTGGTTCTACTTTCTGGTATCAACACCACCCTTTTTGGGTATCGACACTGCCCTACCTATTTGTTCTTGGTGTTGCTACTAGTTTTTGGGGTCGGCACCAAGGCTTTTGGGTGTCGACTCCCTATCTGCTGCTTATGTGAGTGTTTCAACACTGCTTAGTATCGACACCCCTCTTAGCACTTGATATAAATTCAGATTTTGTGTTTGCTGCATTTGGTCCTACTTTTTTAGACTTTTTTACTTATATTCTTAGTTGACTTTTGGGAAACATTCTATCTTTGATCTATACTATAAATAGACCCTAATCAACTGTCTTTCCTCACTTTTCTTCCTCTCTTTTCTTCCTCTTTTCTCTTTTCATTTTCCTACTTACACTATGGGTCACCATCTCTCTTTCTAAACTTGTTTTTCGCACTAGATCTTAAGATCTACTCACTTAGAGTCATCTTCTCACTTTACTCCTTTGAGATAAAGTGTAGAGCTTGTCAAGAGGATTGCTCTAATTGGAGCAAATCATCGTTTCCCTACCATCAACTTTTGGGGTTTTTCTTGTTTCATCCTCCTTGCTTTGAGGTAAGGGTTTTCTTGATGACTATATGCTCTTTAGCTTTGATATGTGTTATTTTGTTAAACAAAGATTGGAGAAAGCTAGGGTTTGCTTCAGATATGTGTGTGTGTGTGTGCGCGCGCGCACGCGCACGCATAAAAATTGGGATTCTCTTGGGTTTTGCTTGTTGATAAATAAATGTTATTTTTGTTAATTTGTGACTTGGTTTTGGATGAAAATAGAACTTTGAGAAAGAAACCCCAATTTTTTATTTTTTTTTTTTGAACACCTAGTTTAACCTTGAGGTTTTTGAAAAAAGAATTTGGTTGGGAATATTTTTGAAATATTTGGAAATTATGAGTATTGGTTACTCCCTTTGAAATGTTGAGATTCATAAGACTCTTGAAGAGTGTTGAATATCGATTGTTAAGATTTTGGAAAAATCATGGTGGTTTCAGATTTTGATGTTGTATTGGATTATATCATTGTTGTTATACTTTAATTTTGAAATTAGAGATAACTGTTTGATTATCGGTGGAGGATAACATTATCGTGTGATAGAAATTGCATGTGATTTAGGCAATGAATCTATTTACCAATCATGCATCTCATTGATCATATCATGAATTTGTGAACTTCTTATATTGTATCATAGAAATGATTTATCTTGAGGTAAGGGGTAAATAAAATGGTGAATCCATGTAGGGGTGTGGTTATGGATAATTATCCACTCGATCAGGTGCCAATTCCCGGTTAGTAGCCAGTAAAGTGATGTTTTTGTAGTGCTTGAGAGCCTACTTGCAGACACTAGCACTAGGGATTTATAGCATTGTATTTACTGTCTTGTTTACTATTTTTAAGAAGTGTTTGGAATGTGATTTAAGAACTCTCGCATGGCATTGTTTAAAAAAGGGAAAACTCATGTTTTTTAGTATAACATTTCATATGCATCTCGCCATATGACATTCCTAGTTATCATATATTTCATTGAGTTATCTTTAGTGGGCTTTATGCTCACCTTACTTGGAAACAACTTTTCAAATGTTGACGGCGTGCCTCCGCCAAGATGAGAGCTTGGGAGGATCTTGGAGTTTAAGGTGCGTTTTGTTTTGATTTTTTTTTTCTTTTCTATTGTATAGCCCCAGGCTTTGTTGTGTTGGGCTTTTGACCCCTTCTATTGTAACCAAGCAACGTCTTGGAAACTTGTAGCCTTTAAGACATAAACATGCATTTGTTTAAATGTTATTTCTTATAGATCACATGTTGTAGATTCATATTCTAGGATCAATGAATTTATAATTGCATGTGATGCTAATTTGTATGACTCAAAGGACGTTTTTTTATTGAAATATAGTTTTGGAGATGTTTCTTGTATTATAATGATTGAGATTTAGTAAGCTTCCAAATGTTTGTTAAGGATTATATAGTGTTCCTAGTTTAGACCCAACTTATTGATGTTTTGAATCCAGGTTTCATTTGTCTTATTTAGATATTCATACCGTGTTTCTCCTTATTTCACATTGAGTTTAGGTATTGGAGTATATTGGTTGTGTTTGGAACAAGTTGGTTGCTAGTTTGGTCAAACTGTTGTTGTCCAGAATTTAGCCTCTTCGCTCGAGTGAGCTTTGTGATCTCCCAATACTTTTGCAGGCCTGCAAACATACTGGGAAGGTAATGTTCTTCGCTCAAACGAGACTTCTTACGCTCAAGCGACGGTCTTCTGTTTGTAAAACTTTTGGGAGATTGTATTCTTCATGCGAGCTAAGATTCTTGCGCTCGAGCAAAACAACTTACTATGTCTAGTCACTCGAGCGACAAGTCTTACACTCGAGCAATCTGTGCGTATATCAGTTCATAAACAGACCATTTTATATCACTTTTTCATATCTCTCTCTCTCTCTCTCTAAAACATTTCAAAACCCTAAGTTGAGACCCTCTCTCTAAAACTCATCTTCTCTCTAAATCTTATGTTTATTCGCATGTGTTACCCTTTTGTACAACTAAATCTTATGTAATAGAAGGATCTTATACTCTGATTTATATTGTTATTCACTTACCGTAATGGATGGTTTATCGTATTTATTTCAGGGCGTTACAACTTGGAATTAGAGTGTATCGAGTTTGAATACTTTGGGTACGTGGGAAGTGGTTATTACCACAATGGGTTTATCTCGCTTAATAGAGATATTTGTATCTATTGTATGCTTATGTGATAATATACTTATGTGATTATATGGTTATGAGATTTAATTTCTAGGATATTGATTGTGTCTATAGGTTTCTAGAAGTCTTATTAAAAGAGCACCTGATCACTATTGTTTCTAATTGGAACTCTGGCAACGCCGTGGGACAGTCATTATCTAGGAAGGAAATCCATATTTGTTTATGTGATTATGTACTTATGTGGGATGAATTACTGTTGCCCACAGCATTAGGACGCGAGTGAGTTATCTTCGGCACATTTGTGAATGTGTTAATCTCTTTTGTTACCTTCATTAGGATGTCAGGATGTGGTCGCAGTGGTAGGCCTAGAAGGCATGAGGTGTCTTTGCCGGATGATATCCAGACACAAGAAGAAGGGGTTGGTTAGGCCAATGTGGCCAAACCAATTGGTCAGGCCAATGTGGCCAAACCAATTGGTCAGCAAGCCATGGGCGCTTTAGTCCGTGAGATGGCTGGAGCATTACGGGAATTCATGGACATTCTCAGGGCTGAGAATCAAGTCCAGACCCATGTTGTTGAGACGGGGCCGTCTTTTCTAAAGCGAGAGTTCTTCCGGTCCAACTTGGATGAGTTTTTAGGCGATCCTAAAAAACCATTGAAAGTGAATGAATGGCTCGAACAAATGGTGAAGACATTTGAGATGTTCAGCATCGAAGACGGTGATTTGAGAGTGACCTTGGCATCCTTCCAGCTGAAGGGAGATGCAGGTCAATGATGGAAGTATGCGCGTGGGTGCATTGAAGTAACTTGGGAGGCTTTCGTCGACACCTTCCACAACAAGCTCTTACCTCCCACTGTTAGGGAAAAGTTGAGGGAGCAGTTCTCACAGCTCAAGCAGTTGAACACATCAGTGGCTGAGTTTGAGGCCACATTTACTAGCCTATCTAAGTTTGCACCAGAGTTAATGACAACAGAGGAATACCGCTGTGTGGAGTTTGAGAAAAGGTTAAAGAT